GTGGGAGGAGATGGGTGGAGGGAGAAGTCACGGGTCCTGTTCCTGGCTGAGGGGAAACACACCTGCACATACACACGCAGGTGCATCCTCCTATCCAACCCACCATGTTATTTTTTCCCACGGGTCACTAAAGTTCCACTGTTCAAGTCCTGCTTTCTGGCACAGACTGATAAGATGACTTGGGGACCAAAGCAGGGGTCCCCCTTTTGTGCTTTCCCACTTGCTCTTCACGAGGCCAGAAACCTCAGCCTTGACCCTTTCTCTCAGAGGCCTGAAAACCCTGCTTGTCACGAGCAACCTCAGAGAAAGCTGAATGGCAGCACCACTCCCAGATTTAAGAATAAGCAAGAGGCATCCCCGCCACATCCACACCTCCCACCTCCTCCAGGCCCCTTTCCTGAGCTCCTGAGGAGCGCTAGGCCCCCACTGTCCGCTCCAACTCACCAGCTCAGCCTGTGCTCGTGGAATCAGGGAACACACACTGGCCTCAGCGAACGAGCCTGAGACTCAGCAAACGAGCCTGCGGACTCCCTGACTAGCAGCGCTGGGCCCCACAGGGAGTGATGGGTGGGGCCTGGTTCCAGGGCTGGCATCCCCCGCCTCACCTGCCACCTGCTTGCTGCGCTGGGAGGCCTCAGAGGCCAGGGCGTAGGAGATGTTGATGATGCGCTCCTGCTCCTGCAGCTGTGAGTCCAGGTCAGCCACGCTGTTCCGGTCCTGGCCTGCTGCGGACTGCAGGTTACACATGCTGCAGGAGGGCCAGAGAAAGGGTGAGGCCCTCGGAGCCCCTGACACCTGCCTCGGGGTGGGGTGGCCGATGTCCCTGACTGCAGGTTCTCGCTCTTTTGGGCCGCAGCAGATAAAAACAAGCCACTTTTCTCTAGACTGAGACATGTGCCCGAACACCCGAACGGTTTGTACTTAGTGTCTCTCGGGGGAATCACAGGCCTCGAAGTAAGAGATTTATCTCTCAGGTCTTACTCAATCCAGTCATGAAATAGTTAATTTGGCTTGAAAAGAAGGCTCATGTAAATCAAGGTTACATTTCTGAATCTATGAAGGCTAAGGGGACCGGAAAGTCACTCCCTAGGACCTGTCCTGGCATCCAGGCAAGAGGGAAAGGCCTTCGGTACCTCAGGCAGAGCTGGGGACCCTGGCTCTGGTCTACAGTTCTGTGTGTGGGAACACAGCCCTCATGCTGGGAGGGCCATTCTTGGGGCCTTGGCGCGGCTCTCCAAGGCGTCTACTTGTTACCACACTTGTCAGAGTGACAGGACACAGAACTGGCTCACTGAGTACTGCAGGGCCTCCCAGATGACCCCGGCAATGAAGGGTGGCGGGCACGCTGAGAGCCAGCCTGCCCCGTCCTACTTGAGTGGGAGACCTAGCAGGATGCACACCCTGGCCAGCCTGGCCTTTGTTCTACTCTAGGGGTGTGGGAGGAACACAGGCCTGGAGGGCTATGAAGACCTGGGCACTAGGAGGCTGACCTGGACCGGGTGAGGATATTACGGATCTTCTCGGCTTTTCGATACCGCGCCTGGAGCTCCTCAAGGCTGGGTGGCTCTTCGGGGTCCAGTTCCACATAGCGCTCAGGGATTGAGACCTTCTCTGGCTTGGACAGCTGAGGAGAGGGCCAGAAGGAGGGGGAAGGAGGCTCAGATGTTTGGGCGGGGACCTGTGTCCCCGCCCTGGCCCCTCCACACAAGAGTCACAGGAGCGACCCAGCAGAGTCCCTTGTCAGTCATGGTCTTTCCAGCATACCCAAAAACTCATATTGCTGAAGGGGTACAGCATAACTAGACTAGAAGCTCTCAGGATTGGATGAGCAATCCTGGATCTGCCTGGTCTGACCCCTGCCAACCTCTCCAGCCTCACTGACAGCACAGCCCTCTGGCTTCAGACTCTTTCTCATCCTTTCCACCCACCACCAGGAGCCTTCCCTGCTCCCCCCATCCCCCACCCCCACCCACTGGCCCCTATCACTGCCTCCCATTTCCTGTTTGTCTCTCTGATGTCTAGTGGAGGGGCATGACACATAGAAGCCCTCAGCAACTAGGATGGGCTGGTGGGCAGACAGAGGGGTGGCTGGATGTTAGGAAGCAATGGTACTTTCTGTCCCTACAAAAGCTCCTCTAATCTGGACAGGAGGCAGCCAGACTCTACCTAGTGCTTTGTGGAGGAGAATGGCCCACCATCTCTTATACGAAGCCAATAGCTACCTCAGTTTGTGGAAACTTACTTGGGCTAAGAATCCCAAAGACAACTTTCACACATTCCAGGAAACTTTTCTTCCCTGAATTACAATAGGTCATGAAAATGAGGTTGGTTGACACTTGTAAAAACAAGTTAAACCCAACCCCGGGTAAATCTGAAGTCCATTTAAACTGTAGCAGACCTTTCATGCTGGCGAAAGATGTCAAGAAATAAGCCCTTTTCTGTTCCTTCCAAAGAAGGCAGATCCAGAGGAAGGAAGCAGATTACATTGTAGCAAGTAGATTTAGGTTAGAGATAAGGAAGGGCTTTTTCCCCTGGCTAGGAGACCAACTAGGACATTATAAAGAGCACTTCCACTGCCAAGACAGTGTGTAGAAGCTTCTTTGGTGAATCTGAGAAAGCACAGACCTTTGGTTATTTCAGAAGAGCCAAAGAAAAGAAGTCTGAGAACTGGGGACTAACCAACCCCTTAGGCCCTGGAACCTCAGCTGACCCCAACACTGGGCAAGTCAGGGGCATCAACTCACTCCTACACGGCTAAATCTGTCCTTCACATCAGGAGAGCATTTCCTCTTCTGCAATTTCAGGGCAGGCCAAGCCCTCATACAAGTACACCTACAGACCACCATGTGATTTATTCATCAGTCTTGAGCAAATATTCGGAACTCCGACTCTATGTGGCCCCACGCTCTATGTGCACAAAGGCAAATCTAAAAGCTATAGACTCTTCCCTACAGAGTTTATAAACATAGGCTGCCAGAGACCACCCTCTCTCTTGAAGACCCAGAATCTGCCACCCTCTGAACGCCCTTTCTCTTCCCTGGGGTAGTCCGTCATCCAGGCGGTTGGCTGCTTTCCTGGGCCTCTCAGTCATGATGCATTTGAGCCACCAGAGGGCGCCAGAGGAATTCAGACCAGAAGGCTACAGGCTTTGCGTGGGTGGAAATTTCACCTGTCATTTCTAAACTTGCCCCACATTGTCCAAGTCAGTCTGACCAGCCAGGTGCAAGGACAGTTTCCCCCCTGGGTTTCCAGGAAACCCTTCATAATAATAACTACCTGATACATGCATATTTGGTGCCAGGCCCTGTGCTCATGGCTTTCTGACCTTCTGGCTACATGCTGAGTTGCTTAGTCCTCACAACCCCTTTATTGCCAAGGCCAGTGAAGCAGAAAGAAGGTAAGTGACTTGCTCCAAGTTACAGAGATAGAGTGGAGCTTACAATCTCCAATCTCTTATTACCTGACATCTTGCATTGCCTGAAGCTGTGGCCCTCTGTTTTCCTGGGCTGCACTAAAGCTGAGCTCTCTCTCCAATTCAGAACACACTGGCTCCGACAGTAAGCCCAAAGGCAGGGGGTGGGGGAGCTGGGGAGCAGGAAGGAAGCCTCGCCCTCACCTCTCTGCTGATGTCCAAGCCATAGTCTTGCGGTTCCAGGTCCACCTCAGTGACAGGGATGGCCTGCACTTTCAACCAGCCATTCTCTTCCTTGTCCTTTCTTTCCCCTTGCACGGCCCGTTCCAGCAGCTGCAGGTCAAAGTCCTGCTCGCGCTTCCACTGGCAACAGAATAAGAGGGTTAAATGTAGTCACTTCCCTAACAGAGTCAGCCTGCCCCCTTTGTGTGGGTCTTGCAGGCTCTGGGGTCCTTTGGAACGTGGGCCTGTGGCCCACTGGGGAAAAGCCACATGACCGTGGACCTTGCCTCCTCGTCTCTGAGACCAGTCAGCTGCTGTGTAGCACTGCTGGGCCCTGCTGGTGCAGAAGAGAGTGAGACCTGATAGCAGACACAGGGGTTTCTCTCTGGTCTTGGACCCCAGGGTCAAACATGCACTCCCAGAGCACAGTTCATGACTTTAGATTCACAACGGTCCCCAGGGATATGAGGTTCCCAGGGCTAAGGATGAACCCCAAGCCAAACCTGTGACAGAGCCCCAGAGAGTCACCCCTTCTGTGGCCCCATGGGTTGGGGAAAGTTTTCTGGCTCAGAAGTCATAAGTCCCAGCACAGAAATTGTAGAAATGATAAGCCCTTTGTGTCTGAATAAACAAGGGGAGGAGCGAGAGCCCCTCTTGTGGGCACCCCCAGAGGCCACATCTGGGGTGAGGACCCCTGCACAGCAGCGGTGGGAAGACAGTGGGGTCAGAGAGCAGCCGGGAGCCACAGCACTTCATTGGGACAAAAGTTTTCTTAGAGTTAGGACAAAATCCAAAACCGTGAAAAATTGAAACGTTAAGTGCAATGTGTCCGAAAGCTGTTCTTCAGTATCAACTTGCAATAAACTCTCTTTACAGAGGGAAAACTTAAACAAGGCCACGTTAAGATATCCAGCACAACGGCTGGGCTCTTCCACCTTCATCCCCATGGACTCTCGGTTCCTAGCAGGTTAACAGCTAGAACAGACCCAAAGTCCTTCTCCCGAGCGGAAGCCACACAGATGCTTCATGTCCTTCTGCTCACCCATCTACCTCACAAAGCCCCAAGAGGTCGGGATTGTCTTGATGAACCCGTCAGTCCCCTCAAAGCCCCAACTCCACAGCACTTTCACCCATTCAGGCACAAGCTCGCCATACGCTTGCATGGTGGTTTCCAGTGGAAGGAAGGTGTGGCTGAAGTTTTAAGGATGAAAAAGTAAATGATTCATAAGGAAAATTCTTACATGCTCACAAAACAGAGACAACTCCTCATTTAAACCCAGCCTGATTGCTTCCACTTACAGAAACAGTTCACTAAACCCTGTGATGTATCCTGGGGAAGAACCACGCCAATCCACAGTCATTAAGCAACACGTTTATTGTTGGCGTTGAAGCAGAGAAAATTTACAAGGTTTTCCAGTTATAATTTTTGATCATCTTTCCACACTTGATACATTATGTTGTAAAGGTCAGTGTTCATCCATATGACATTTGCTTATAAAGTTTAAGAGTTACCAGCTTTGTAGCTTCTCTGGGTATGAGTGGCCTGGGTCTTACTCCTTTGGTGTCTAAGGGCAGAAGCCCCATCCCGACAGAACACAATGTACCTTACTATCCATTCTACTTATTAAAAATACCAGAAACACAAAAGGTTTGCCATGTGAAACTGTGCCATGGGGCTGAAGGAATTTTTAAAGCTCAACATCTTCAGACTTGGTAGAATTTATTCAAACGTATAATCTCTAAAGGCCATGTCTACAGTCCAGACGGGCAGATGGAAGGTGAGGACAGATAAATGCATAGTGTCCAGACCTCTGCCAATGATCACCGCCCCCAGCAGCAGGTTGGCTCAGCCTGGTGGGGCAACTCTGGGGGTGAGTGAATGATGACCCCGTGCACAAAGGGGCAGCAGAAAGCGGAGGCACACATGGGAGTGCTCGCTAGGCTGTGGCGACAGGAATTGTTATGATAGGCCTGGTAACAAAGTGCACAGGCCAGTTAGAGAACGTTCAATGCAAATGAAAGCTTCTGTAAACACAATCAGGCAGGGTTAGAGAGGCAATGAGCGGTAACACTAAAAGCAAAAGAGCTTGTGCAATGAATGAGGGAAAGAACAGTCAGGCTAGCAGTCCAAGGAGATACTTGATTTCAAATTACCGGACAAGTCAAACGGAGTTATTTCCAAAAGGGGCCTAAGGCGGCTGGGCAGGGTGTAAATGCAGGGAAGCACCACCAGGGGGCAGCAGATCCCTGAGCTCTCAGGGGCACCATGAGGCCTGTGCGCACCACCAGGGTTTTCTGGCATGATCTTGTGCTCAGGGCATCCGCCTAGAAGTTTGGAAATCTGGTGACTTGTCTTCCTCCTCATCAGGTCATGTCACCATCTTCCTCCTACACTCTTTGAACTGACTCAGCCTTACAGACGTTGAATGCCTACAAAGGCCCAGTCAAGCTCAGCTTGGAGCACTGATGCTGGACATTTCCTCAGACTCCTCCTGGAACATCCCCTCTCCTGCTCTGGTTCCAGGTTCCCCTGACCAGATTACACAATGTCCTGGGTGTGGACAAACAGCCCCACGGGGTATTCTTGGAGCCATTGAGGTCAACCGCCCGCTCTCTGGGGTGTGACATGCTGCGTTGTGGGGACTCGGGGAAGCTCTGCTCCCTGTCCCAGCCCCTGTCTGCACCCTCCTAACATACTGAGCCGAGATCTCCAGGGAGCGGCTGGCTGAGGTAGCGGGATGAGGAGACGCCCGTCCTCTCTCCTTGGCTCAGCGTCTTCTTGCGCTCCCGGACCAGGGCCTTCTGGTGTCGCTTCATGCGTTCCAGCTGCTCCTCAGCGCTCATCTTGCCCTTCTGGTGGTCCCCTGAGTACAGGCGCTCCAAGGCACTCTTGGGTCTCTGAGGAGGAGGAAGGCAAGAGATTCAGCGGCTGGGATGGCGACAGGGCAGCCGCCTGCTGGCTATTCTGTGTCTCTCACATTCACTCTCACATTCTCTCAGTCTCCCTCTCTGTTTCTCTGATGCTCTTGGCCATAAAACCACTTCTCTTAAGCACACAAAAGGACATGTTTTCCCTGACCCTCAGAGGGTAGCATCCACTCTGCAGATGGAGACACTGAGGCCACGTTTGTCCAGTTGGGCACACATGCACACAGGTCCTCCCCGGGAGCCTGAAAGACTAAAGTGGAGGGTCCTCAGGAAATGGAAAGGGGCATGGGATGCCTTCTTGGTGGGTGTGGGGAAGGCATCCCTGAGCACCTGGGTCAGGAAGCTGGGCTCCGAAGGGGCTGAAGTCACCCGAGGGCTGTCCCCAGGCTTGTAGATGGCCTGTGACTGTCTACCTCGGAGCCCCTCCCTCCGGGAACAGAGGGTGGCAAGTCCTCAAGAACTCCCAGGCCACTCACAGGGAAGGTCACCTTGCTGCTGTCGGCATTTAGGCCCCTCCGGAGGGTGACGTAGGGAGCGATGGTAGAAGACTGCTGGAGCCGTGACGTGGACCCCGAGAGCCCTTAGTGAAGAGAGAGAAAAGCAAGTGTACGTGTGGTGGGGCCGACAGGTCACTGCCTTCCCCAGTCACCTCCATTCCAGGGGGGAACAAAGAGGGCGCAGTCCCTGCCCACCCTACTTCTACCCCATAGCCAGGGAGAACAAGACCCAGGGTAGAGGGTGGGAGGGATGAGAGGCCTGCCCCGGGGGTGCCCTCTGTCCCGCCAGATCAGTGGACTGCCCTGTCTTCCCTCACATGAAGACCTGGGCTGCTCGGCCAAGTAAGAGAGCGAGGAATGCCCTTCACCCTGTCTTCCTTTTGAACTCTTGCATCCTGCATGACCCAGCTCAGATGCCCGCTGTGTGACGCCTTCTCAGAAGCCCCAGCAGACCAACTCTGCCCTATATCCTTCTGTAGCCAAGTATCAACGCCTGTCTAACCAGATGGTGCAATTGGCAACGCATGGTTGACTGAATGAATAGATAAATGAAGACAAGAGAGAGGCACGGAGCACATACACCGAGTATGGAGCAGTCACTGTATGGGCAGGCACTGTGCTATGTTTTAGAGGCAGATCTTGCCCAAAGGCCCTACAGCAAGCCTCACTTGACCATTGCAGAGGTACAAATAGGAGGCTCAGAGAGGTCAAGAAACTCACATATAGGGGTGTCACTATATACATCTCACATATAGGGGTGTCGCTGACTAGCGGCTTCCCATGTCTGGGGTCTATAGTGTAGAGCAGTCCTCTCACCTGTTGGCTGGTGAGTGCCTGTGCTTTCTCTACCACCAGCAACTCTAGTCAGGGGAGGTCCCTGGCATCTGGTAGCTGGCATCTCACGTCTAGCACACGGGAAGACTCAAGCGGCCTGTGAGGTGCAGAGACTCCCAGGCAACAAAGAACTGTCCTGCCCAAAACCCACCAGTACTGCCACTGGTGATCAAGGCCTCTAAGCTGGAACAAATGAAGGTCCCCAGCACAGTGTCAAGGGCTGCTGCAGCCCTTATTCAGCAAAATCCAGAGCCCACATCCCCCAAGGAACAGCTCAGGATGCAGCTATCTAGACAGTATGACAGTCTACAAGTCATATGGCCCCACCAAAGGCGCCAGAACTACAGTTGTGTCCTCTTCCCTTTCGCCCCAGCAAAGGGGAAAGCATGTGATCGCCTCCCTGACCCCAACCCCGAGGAGCAGACAGGAGCATCGAGCGAGAAAAGCTGAAGGAACACAGCCAGGGGTCTCAGGAGGGCCGGGAGCAGGAAGGCTGGGTGACCTCTCAGGGGGCTTGTGAAGAAAAGGGTTTAGCTATGGGGGGAAATGAGTTGCAGGCAAGTCTAAGGGCTTCATTCCCATCCCTCTCCATCTTGGAGGGGTAGAGGAGGAAGAAAGAAAGTGGAGAAGCTGGGGAGAAATGTGTGCTTGACGGCAGAAAGGATTCACTGCGCCGTAGAGTGACACAACAGAGGAAGCCCCGTCTGGAAGCCAGGGATGGCCATGGGGATGCAGCACCCAGCGTGCACAGAGGCTCTGGGGCCAGGATACTGGGGGTGTATTCTGACCCGTTACTACTTAGGTCAGCAAGTCACTTAATTTCTTGGAGTCTCGGATTTCTTACCTCTAACATGGGAATAATAGTATTTCCCTCATAGGATTATTAGGAATACTAACTAAGGGCCTGTGAAGAAACAGCTATGACTGCTCCGGGGTACAGATGTAAGAGGAAGGGAACTGTAATGCCAGCCAGAGGAGGAAGGTAGGACGCTCCCTGCAGCCCAGGGTCCCTAACAGACGCAGGCAGGTGGGTGTGACGTACAGGCTGAGGAGCGGGGAACAGTACTGTAGCTGTGACGGGGTCCCAGAAGAGCCCCTACAAAGTCCAGCCTTACCTCTGCCTGGCAGCGTCTGGTACATGCTGTCGGGGCCCACGAGTCCCAGTGAGGGCTGGGCCAGGTCCCCGCTGAAGGACGCCAGCTCGGGCTCACTCACATATGACCGGAGCTCCACCTGGGGGCAGAGGCAGAGACGTCATTCCTGCCCAGTGTCACGCCGCCCTCCACCTCCCCACAGGCCGTGGGGCAGCCCCAGGGTCCCCCCGGCTCACCCTGGAGTCCCCATTCACACACTGCCCCTGCTCCCGGTCTCGCTTCCTCTCGTCTGACTGCCGCTTGAGTCCCCTCACTGACGTGTGCCGGATGACAGTGGCCTCCCTGGGCAGAGGCGGCACAGCAGGGGGCTGGTCCTCCGGGCTGTAGAGCTCAGGGAGTGGGGGCCTGGGAGGAGCCTCCTCATCCTGCTCAGAGAAGAGAACCAGAGAGGGGCCTGAGGGGCTGCTGAGTGGCAGCAGCACAGTGGTGACTGAAGGGCGGGGACAGAACACAATCACTTCAGCCAACATATAGGACTGTTCCCCTGGAGGAGCAGTGAAGAAGGGAGTGCCCGGCTCCGACCCCATTCTTCCTCCGAGTCTTCTCCTCCTGTGCCAGGATGAGTTCGTGGCCCGCAGGCAGTGGGGCTGTGCGTCTTCACGGGGCTGGCGGCCTGGGACACACACCGCCAACTCCTCCCTACCCAGCACAGTTACTTCCTCCATACCAGGCCCCAGTCTGTCCAGCTACAAAATGGGAAGGTTGGGCTGGATCATCTGGAAAGGCCTGTCCAGTTCTGGGAGCAGAGCGCACTCTGGTTCAGGGCTCTCTCAAGATCCTGGTTGGGGACTCTCCCTGGTGGCACAATGGGTTAAAGCACAGCACTATGAAGCTGCTGCAGCTACTGCAGCACAAGTTCAATCCCCAGCCAGGGAGCTGACCCACATGGTGCAGCAGACCTCTCCTGCCTTACCAGCTGCTCCCCTCAGCAGTGTATTTCAGTCCATCAGCCTGTTCTCCTCACTCTGTCTCTGGTAAATCTGCTCAGCACCCCCCTCCCCTCAAGCTTCTCTCCCAAGGGAAGCTCATCTGAGAACAGAGTGGGACAATCATCTGCCAGAGGGAAAATGAGGGTGCACATCTCCTGCAGGTGGGTACTCACAACTGGGGGCTTCGTCTTGGTGGGTGACTGCAGGGGCGACACAACTTTTCTCAGCTGGGGCGGGTGAGGTCGGTACGGCACATAGGTCTGCAGCTGGGGGAAGAGGCGAACCTCCAGAGGGGTCCTCACGGGGCTGGTGGGAGGGCTGGGCTGCGGGGCTGGCTTGCTCTCAGAAGTCGAGAGTGAAGGCACAGGCGGGTGAGGAAACAAAGGCACCGTTTTTCTCTCTGAGGGGTGTGGAGGAAGACAAAGGATGGGGTGGCCTTCCTCAGAGGAAAGGAGAAGCCCAGTCATCCCCAACGACCCCCATCATCCAAGCCCCAACCCCAGGACGTAGGCCCACTCACCTGGATTTTTGACGGAATCCACCAGAATTTTGAAGTTCTCTTTATTTGCACTCAGGCCCGCAGTGACATCTTCAATCCTCCACAAATCCTTCTGGATCTGTGATTTCTCCTGAGAAGACAAGGTGGTGGCTCATTTCCTTCTTAGCTCCTTACCAGAAGTTCCATCATAGGATTCATGCAGCTGCTGCAGACAGAGTCCCACACCTCAGGAGGGTAACAGCCCCTTGGGAAATCTTTTCAGGACCAGAGCCAAGCCTGCCTCACAGAAAACAACAGACAGAAAATGCCCAAAGTCCAAGGGAAGGACTTTCAAAGGAGCTCTCACCAGGCCACATGCCCCAGTTCTACCTGACTTAAAAAACAGATTGCCCTAAATACTGCACAGTTCCTGTGTATGAGGTTATCTGGAGTAGTCAAATTCAGAATTGGAAGAGCAAGGATCAGAGGCCGGGGGACAGGGACTGGGAAGTGGGTGTCTACTATGCACAACACTTTGGTTTTGCAAGATGAAGAAAGCTCTGAAGATTGAGTGCACAGCAATATTTTAAGTGTTAAAAGAGGCCAAGATAATACCTTTTGTTATATGTATTTTACCACAGTCTTAACAGAGTGTCTCAGCACCACCTGGAAGGGAATGGAAGGCAAGACTCCCATCTCTAGACGATAAAGAACATTCTTCAAAGGCAAAGCTGAATCCTGGGTTTGGGGCTCAGTTATGAGTACAAACAGCAGCGGACATTAGGTGGCAATACAGAGAAATGAAGTACCCATGTCTGCTACAACAAAATGAACCCTGAAAACATTCCACTAAGTGAAAGAAGCAGACTAGAGGCCATGTACTGTAGGATTCCATCTGTGTAAAATATCTAGACTCGGTAGATGAGGGGTGGGGAGAATGAAGGAGGACCTTCGCAGGGCGATAAAAAAAAAAGGCTATCAAAATTGATTGTCGCAATGTTTGCATAACTGAATCTACCAGAAAAACCACCAAATTGTACACTGTATAGTGGCAAATTTGAAAGGATGTGACTTCATAGGCTATTGTGTTTTTTTTTAAGATTTATTTATTTGTGCATACAGAACTGGGGTACAGGCCAGAGGCTCAGGAGCGGCGAGAGGCTTCACCAGAGACAGAGTGGGGAGCAGAACAGGCAGATCGACAAAGTACACTGCTGAGGGGAGCAGCGGGCGGGTCAGGAGAGGTCTGCCACGCCATGTGGTCACCTCCGGGGCTGGCGGGAATCGAACTCATGCGGAAGTGGCTTTAGCTTCTTAGTGCTCTGCTTTAACACACTGAGCCACCAGGGAGGGCCAGTGACTATTGTTTTTTGATAAGGACAGTATAAGAGGCTACATAAATATGCGCACGCTGACAAGTTGCCACGGAGACCAGGTGGAAGAGGAAGAGGCCTGCAGAGAGGTGAGTAGGGTCTCCCAGGGAGGGGCTAAATATCAAATACAATGTGATTTTGATTTTGGAGTCATCAAGGGAGGGGACAGCCATGGTCTTTCCCTAGGGACTGAGAAAGGAAGGTTTCCCACCCCTCTCCTCTAAGAGCCCCTCAGCGCCCCTGGAAGAAGGGCCAGACGCTGTAGCTAGCCAAGCACTCCAGATGCACCCTCACAGCATCAGGCACTTCGTAGGTTCTCATCCCACGATGCACAAAGTACCAACAAGGTAAAATTTGCTGATCAAACACTGGATTGTGCTGTCCGAAACCCACTGTCCTCAGAGGGCTCACGTGCTTGCCCTCTTTCTGCCTCCTAACACTGACACACCCCCTCAGGGCAGACAAGCAAATCAGCTGCTGCTTAGCACCCCACTGAAGTCTGAGTGTCTAGAACAGATGCGCCACTGAACCAGAGTGTGCATCTAAGCTAACGGGGTGACGGCTACCGCTCAGGCCCCCAAGGGCAGTGTTGGGAACAGGTGGGGGAGGAAAATGGAACTAAAGTCAACTCTCCCTCTTCCGTACTCCCGGCATACCTCTACCTATCTGTCCCTAACCCTGCCCCCAGCTTGCCTTTCTGCCCCTGCCACGTGTAGGAGAGGAACAAAGAGGAGCTGGGCCAGAGAACCTCTGTTTCTCCAGGGGAGATGGAATTTCAGAACTCAATGACAAGATGAAGTTTGGGGTGGGGGTGGGGGCAAAGGGGTGGGGTTTCATTCCTATAGCTCACAGCACACTAGCCGGAAGGCTCCTGTGATGGTATCAGTGAAGGCTTAAGTTCTTTGTCCAAAAGGAGGGAGACCCACAGGTACCTCACCTCGCCTGGCCTCACCGTCTCCCACAGTTAGCTGGATGTTCTTTCACTCTCGAACTTCCCTATCTTGGTGGCTAGCAAGAAATTCATAATAAAGTCTCTGCACTTCACTGAAAATGCTCTGAATGTTCTCAGAGCACCCCCACCCCCACCCCCACCCAGGCTAAAGGGAGGTGCATTGGTAGGAGGCTGCAAGCACAGCTCCAGAGTTAAGGTCTTACTGCTGCAATTCAACCCAGATCTGCTCAAAGGAGGGTCCTGTGAGCTTCCCTGGGCGCATGACACTTGGGGATAGCATGAGCTACGCCCCCAGCTGGGGGGAATCAAGCCGCAGGCTGCAAACTGGCAGGTCTCCTCTAAATGTAAGGCCTAGATTCTCCACAGAGCCTGCCACAACACCAGTTAGTACCCCCTTTTCTTTGGAGCGGGGTTGCTGCAGAGTAAACCACTATGAAACCAGACAGAACAGAAATACAAAGGGCCAGTAACCACACCAAAGATGTTTAACTGCTAATTAAATAAGTGTAAATTAAAACCAGATGTTCTTTAATCTCCAGGCATCACACTGACAAAACCTTAAAAAACTGATAGCATCCAGCGTGGGAGAGGAGGTGGGCACACAGGTCAGTACTTTCCTGTGAGAGGGCTCTGGAGCTTGCTGTTTCAGGAGTGCTGGTGGGATCAGCAACAGTTAGGTGAAGTTTCAAATAGCAGATCCACCCCCAAGCGCCTACCTCGGGAAAATGCTTGTAAACAAGCTTGGGAAGGTTACATACCTGTTTGTTGTTGCACAGTTTACTAAAGTAAAGTGCTGCAAATAACTTAAAGACCCAACAGAAGAGGAATGGCCAAGTGCAGCAGGTTCAGGTTATGAAATACTAGGTAGCAGCTAAGAAGAACTCATTGAATTTCATTTACTTAGATCAACTCTGTTCAACGCACATCTTCTGTCATCTGGGCTCTGAGATACAGCAGCCATAAGCCACGTGTAACAACAGAGCACTTGAGATGATTCTAGTGTGCCTATGGAATACAGCTTTATTTAAATATAAGTAGCTATGGTAGAGGGCAGCACAAACTTGGGGGATGTCTTGCCTGAGAAGATTAGCACAACATAAAGTTATGACAAAGAAAACATGTTCCAGCGTATAAGGAAACCCAGCTGCCATCCCCAAATAAACTATACTGTTCTATATATGTCTAGAGATGCATAGAAAACAGTCTGGAGGGCAACAGTATGAACTGACTCCCTGATTGAATGTAGGGAGCCAGGCAGAAAGGGAGAGGAGAGGGGAGCTTTGGCTTTTGTTTCTGCTTCTCACTGGCCTTTACATACATACATACACACACACACACACACACACACATATATATATTCATGTGCTACTTATATAATTATAGAAACACAAGGAATGAAAGGCTAAAATTATTGCTCCAAAACAACGCAGACATTAAGACCTGTCCAAGAAGACAGGTACCACAGGACAGGGCAAGTCAAGGAACTAGTACCTACAAATACTTGTTTGAAGGTCTTTGCCGACAATATTCACCTAGTATTTTCAAGCCATTATGCTAAATTCTGGGGATACAATTTTAAAAAGGAGGAAAATATTGACTCAAATGAAGGGACATTGTAAAAAGCAAAACCCAGCAGCAGCAGAGACAGACAGGCGCTACTTTACAGGTCCAACCTGGGACACAGTTAAGCTTCCTCACACCCCCTAGCCCCCGCCCCAGGTTCTCTGGGTGAGTGGAGGGATAGCAGAGCTGAACCCCCTCCTGAATCTGCTTCACTTTCCAGGCGGGAGGCCAGTGTCTGGAGAGTCAGCACTGATTAAACCTCTTGAATGAGGAGCCTCGGCTAGCATGAGTTCAAGTCAGCAAGCCGAGTACAGAGCCGCCCCCACAGGAAGTCTCAGTCAGTGAATTCAGATGCATTGGATTCTACAGGGTCCTGAAGATACAGATGTGAAGCTGGGTTCCAGTGTAGGTTATTTTCCATTTTTAAAGCTTTGAGGGTGAGGAGGAAGCCAGGTCGGTGCCTAAATGAGGGAATGCTGGGAAGCTGGGGGACCCAAACTGTGAAAAGACAAATGGCACAGGGCCTTTCCATTTTCTCACCCTTGGGGGAAGAAGCAGCTATCAAAAGGGTGGCCTGGCCTGTAAGGACAGAGGAAGGCCGGGACTAAGGCTGCCTTTCCAGACTGGGGCAGGGGCAGCAAAAACGGGGCGGCAAAAACTGGGCGTCTCCTGGCCTGCCCTCCAGCAATGCAATGACTACCTGGGGACCAGAGGCACCTTGTGGGCCTGAATTCTCTCCACTCTTCAGGAAAAGGTTGGATAACATTTATCTTGAGGAATTGGAGGAGGGAAGGAAGGGCTGTGGCCTAAATGAGTAGAGAGGAACCCAAGATTGGGTCAAGAACACAGATCACTCTCAAGTCTAAGGTTCTGAAGACTGGTATCTGTCTCCTCTCGGGGCTGTTTCCTCAAATGCTCAATAGTAAAACCCTTAAAAAGACACCCACAAGCTTCTTATTGACAGCAAAGAGCAAAGGGAGCTGGGGTAATGCTCATCACAGCCAGGACAGGGAGAGGGACCCCAAGGGACAGCTGGGGTGGTAAATGGCTTAGCTCTGGGGGAAAGCTAAGGACAAAGGCCCTCGGTCATACACACAGTGCTCATGGGTGAAAGCAATAAAAATGAAAGCTAAGAATGAAAAGGCCTTGATACCTGGAAGAAGAAGGCCCTTCTGTGTTGCTCCTGCAGGGTCTGCTTCAGCTGCTCCACATCACCCTCCAACTTCAGGTATTCGTTCCAAGCATTTTCCATCTCCTGTTGGTCAAGGAAATGCTCTGAGTCTTAGTTATCCCTCACCCCCGGGCCTTACGGGCACACACACAAGAGTCCACTGTTGACCCAGCCATGGAAAGAGGGGAGTCCAGAGCAAGTTGGGATACTCTAGTCAGACCCTGGGTAGAAAGGGCCTGCACTTCATCAGGTGAACAAATGAAGATGTGGGTGTGCTGAGATCTTAGAATGAACTGCACACAGATGCGGGGACTGGCCTTCCAGGCAGTTCGGAGAAATTTGGTCACTGCAGCTATCCAAGAGTCGTTGATGGAAAACACCCTAATGCACCTTGGGGTCAGACATGTCACCCCTAGACAAGGTAAGTTATGAGACTCTCACCCCTGACCACCAACTCTGCTACAGTTTGGGGGATGAGAAAAGCAGCCCCCTTCCTAGATCATGCTGGGGCTCAAAATGGGAAGCATCTACCACCACCACCACCCCCCAACCCTCTACGCACAGTGGACTCTCTGGAGAGCGTGGCCCGGATGTGGACAAGGTCCTCTTGCAGCAACCTCTGCTGGTAGGCAATGTTCTCCAGGTGCTGGGGCTGGTCCCGGTACTGCTCCGTCTGTCTGTGCAACACTTCCAGCACCGACTCTAGTTGGTCCTGCACCAGAGAGCAAGAAGATAGCAAGACAGTCCCTGGAGGCTTCCCCATACCATGCCAGGGACTAAACAGACCTGTTGGGTCTAACTGAGGCTGACAATGTTAAGGGGAAGGATGTCCTAAAGGGAACTCTGCAGAGTCTTATGGAGACTCCACCCTCTACTCCAGCTTTCTGGACCCTACCCCTTACTCCAGTGATTGGAAACTACAACTCCCAGCAGTACCAGGGAGAGAACTGCGAGGACCCAAGGGCGGAGCTAGCAGGAATTCTGGGACATTTGGGGGATAAATAGGGCGTGATTGCATCTCTCTTTCTCTCGCTCGGGAAAAGGCTCTCCGGACTCGGTGTGTTCAGTCAGCCTAGCCCTAAGGTATTCCAGTTACTTTGTATCCCACTCTCTTCCCCTGGGTTGTTTCCTATTCCTTTCCCCTTTTGTAAATAAACCTGTTATTGACCCTTTACCTGCAGTATAACTGAATTGTGAGCACGTGGGTGAGGCCTCACCAACAGGCGGCCCAGTCCACTCTGGGCTACCCTGTAATGATGGGACCTCTGATTCTAGCTCTGACTCTATCCACTGAGTGGGCAAATCACACAACAGGTCTGCTCCTCAGTTTTCTGATCAATAAAGTGGGCATAAGTCCAACTACTAAGAAGTCAAGGAAAACTAAGAAGTCAAGGAAAATGCATTAAGCTCTGGGAAAAGAGGCATGTTATAAATCTTGGCATCCCCAATAAAATGTTTTATTCAAATACAAAAAAAAAAAAAAAAAAGAGGAAAAAACTGACACTGTCTGAGATCTAACATCACTGAAGTCCTGGTGACCTGCCCTCCCAGCCACACTTGCATCCTCCACACTCCTCATCCGAGGAGGAAAGGAGCTTTAGAAAGTGAGATCATGACCCTGTTAGAACTGCAGCCACTTTCTCCAGGGTAGCCCTGTCCTTGGGTGCCCGGTCCAGGGTGCCCCGTCCAGGGTAATATCTCAGAGCCTGAGATGTTACATACCAGGGATGTACATCACATACAGCTCTCCTTTTTCAGAGTCTCCTTGCAGACCCTCCAGGGAGTGGGGATCAGAGCAGAATTGAGAGGGGAAGGGTGCAGGAAGCAGTTCTTGGAATAATAAGACTGATCCCTATAAGAGTTCCTCCAGGTTCACACAGAAACCCCCAAGAAATATCTTTTAAACCCAAAGACGTGTTCTGGCTAAAGTAACACCTGCTATTCGGTACTAATATGAAAGTTCAGTCTTGTCTGAGGAAAGTCAGGTGACAAAAGCCCCCTCCACCCAGCCCAAGATTATGCAAAAGTGGTACTTACTTTGTTTTCCTTGAGGGCTCGTATCTTGTCTTCCAAATCCTGGAGGATCCTGTCTTGTTCACAAAGGATGCTCAGTTTGACCTGCGAGTAAAAAAATAAGTTGGAGAGGGTCTGGGCTGATGAAAAGGGGTACAGCCTTGGAGAGTGATCAGAAAGCCTTTGGCTATAGAACCACCTCAACCCTGCCTGAGGGGTTCCCCCCAGCCTGGAGTAGCGGGGCAGCCAAGAGGGTCAGCCCCAGACGATGTTCACTCACGTCAATGTCACTTTCGGCGATTTTCACTGGCTTCAGACTGCGGTCCTTGAGAATGTCCCGGCCTGTCATCTGGGAGGTGAACAATTTAAAGGAGACTTAACCATGGGGTTCATGATCATAACACAGCAAGGAAAGGTTAGCCACACGATGGATGTGTATGGAAGTCTTGGCGATGGCAGGGGTGGTCATGGCATGAGAGGTGTTAAAGCTTGGGTGATATTTGCTTTACTTCCATGCCTATTTCATTTCAGGGAAAAACCAAATCCTTCTTGAGATCCAGGGAGGCCTTGTAAATTTCTCAAGTTACAGACAATACAGACATTAAAGTTACAGTATCACTAACTGGATGCTTGTCTTTGCCCAGAATATGTTCAGTATAAATCTCCGAGGATTTGCTAGTGATAAGAGAGCTATGTACTGAACCTGGCATCAAACACAGGTGACAGAACCCACAGCAGAGGGGCATGTGGCCCAGGAGAACAAGCAAACCTCCCACATCATCAAGCCTTAGTTTAAGGAAGTCCCCACACAGTCCACTTCCCTGAGTAAGGCCTCCCTCACCCACACTGTTTAGGAAGAGGATCTGGTCAGAGGAGGAGGAGCCTGGGTAATTCTGGCTGGGGTTCTAACTGATCCTGAATAAATGAAAGTACCCTGTTCTCTCAATGAAGGAAATCACAAAGCAGCATGCAAAAATCACCCAAACTTACATACCAGAAGGATTTCACATGGCTCATCCTTCCCAACATTGCACTAAATGGCCCGTCTCTCACTGTCTCCCATGTTGCCAATCCAACTCTTAACTCATGTTTACTTTCCCCCCAGAACTCGAGCAAATTCACCCAGCTGAGCTGGGGTGGGGGCACTTTTCACAGATGTAGCCCCAAGGCCATGCCTCAGTCAGGGATAACCAGGCTTAGTTTTAATAAGCCACTTGCACAACTCTGTGCATCTTGCCATGAAACAGAAGGTGGAATTAGTGGAATTAGCAGCAGAGACAGGCAGTGTGTGTGCATTGCTGAGGGTGTCAGTATGCACACACAGGCGGTGGCTAGAAAAATGGCCCTCACTTTCTTCCTGTTTCAACTGAAGAAGTCCAGTACGTTGGTGAATAAGAATCAGAGGCAAAAATAACAGAGTCCCTAATGCACTATGGTTCGACTCAGGAACTTTTTACTTGATGATGGTGCAAAAGTGATACTTAGGAGAAGTCATACTTAGAATTCTGACCGTTTCCAGGCTAGCACTATGTGGTATAAACTCCCATACTGGGTAAGGGTGGGAAGCTGGAGCTCCCCATCAGCTCTGTGATCATGAGGAGTAACAAGCCATACTCTGTACTGTCCTGTATGGCCAGAGTTTTTTTTAGCTACTGTGCTTTGTGCTTCCATATCCCATGATATCGACAAAATGCCCAATTGTGTCTGAGATACTCAACACAACACTACTTCGACTTTGCAGATGCTTTTGTCCAACTGCAAGGAATGTAAGTGCCTGTGCATGTTTAAGACAAATGAGGCTAATGTTCAGTAGGTTAGTCGTGTTCAATGCTTTTCAACGTATATCTTCAACTTACAATAGGTGTGAGGCATAACCCCATTTTAAGAGAAAGATCTGTATCAGCAAACATTCCTCTCCGTGTGCAGGCCACCACGTGCACAAGTGTCCTATACACTTACTCCCTAACGAGTCTCATCAGCAAATCTAAATGTCAAGGGAGAATGACCTCTACGTGCGTAGGCTACCAACTGAATTTGGGCTGCAGACACTACCCTTTGCCCCAACCCCCACCCCAACCCCAATTCCCTGGCTGCCTCTGGTCACATTCTACACTGTCTTTCTTATATTCAGCCTGGAACACAAGACTAGCACCCAGGAGGCTCTGTAAAAGCTTCCTGCACTGCAGGTCGGTTGAAGAAAAGCATGTGTAGGTCAGTGCAGTTCTTGGGAAAAGCAGAACTCCAGCAAATTCTGCTCTTCAAACTGGCAGATCATGTGTAAACACACATACACACACACTCACAGGACATGGACTGTGGTGACAACTCACACACCAGCAGGCTGTGCTGGCTCCTTCCAGGACCTGGGGAAAGGGAGGGGCAAGACAGGAAGAGAAGGGGAGGGCTGGGGTTAATCCTGGTGAGCTTCAAACAGCTCAGTTTCGCAGGCAGCACTTGGGGAACAGATAAAGGCAGGGCGGTCTCCACCGTGTATACCAGACCCCAGCACAGCGGACAAAGAGCCTTCTACTCTCCCGCCAAGTGACCGATGGTTCATTTCCTAGGTAGAAATCCCTTCAAACTGAGCTATGCTTTGGAGATTTTTCCTCCCAGCAAAACTCTTCCCCTTATTTCACTGAAGCATTTTATAGATGATATTTTTCTGGCACTTAAATAGCGGGGCAAGGACCTGATTGAGCAATGCCTCATTTATCCAGCGCCAGCAGGAAAGGAGAGAGGTATTCTACACAAAAAGAGCATTTTGAGAAACGGAATCTTTTAAACGATTTGACAGAAAGCTTTCTCAAAGTATACGCTTTGCTGCCTTCCTAGAACACTGACTATAAATTCAACCATTTGGAGATGAATCAGTCATTATAAAAATCAGTAATAGTTTCTTTGAAGTGCCCCGTGACAAAGCGCTTCCAAATAACTGGGCTTTCATTTCCATTTAAATACACATGCATGTTTCCATCTCTCTAGCAGGATACTAGTAAATTTCTCTTGTGCCCTTTCAATGTGTGGCTGGAATTAAAATGATTAGTTTTGTTAGGATTAGGGGCTCACCAGGGGTGACCCATTTGCTGGCTCTCCGCCCTTCCAGGGAGCTCCTCCCTCATCCGTGTTCCTCATGACTTGGGGCTTAGTTCTGGGGATGGTGTTCTGTCCCCTTCACTACACAATAACCAAATCAGCAGTGCCTGTGGGGACAGGAGCTATTTCTCTGAATCTTCAAAGTGCAGCCCAGGCCTAGGTAAGGACGCTATTCAGGAAATGCCTGCCTAGTGTGTCTCGGACTATAACTGAACCAAGCTGGCTGTGGTCACGGCCCAAGACCGCTCCCTAGAGGGTAAAGCTCATATGCTTTAAGAATGCAGCTCCACAGCTTTCTCGTGACAGCTACCAATAGTTCTTCCATAATGCAAAGTTCCTGTAGGCTGAATTTTAGGCTTTGCCCGAGAGTGGAGGCTACTATGAAATAGTTTATTGCAGTCTGTGAGAGCAATGTTTAAATACATTAAAACATCAACTGTGGGTCCCCAGGGTCTGTCGTGAGACAAAGTGACAGTCAGCGGGCACTCGCTATTGGGAAGTCTGTGCCAGGGGCTAACGGGCACCCTACCTGACCTGCACCACATCCTGACATCCCTTTCCTTGGAGCTGGGGTTAACCGGACATCGCAACTACTCCAACCTCCAGCCTTCCTTGGAAGCTACAAAAGCTGGCCACATCTCATTTATTGCTTCTGCCTCTAAGGGGAGCTGGGGGCTGTTTTGTTCTATTGGGTTGTTGGAAAAGTCATAATGCATTTTTGCTTGAAAAAACATAGAAAAACTATGTCCTGACTTTTCTGACAATCCAGTAGTTCTGGACTGTTTTCAGACATCGACATCCTGCCAGGGGGAGTCACCTAAGCCCAGAGCCATGGTAGACTCTGAGGATACCACGTTCCTCTAAGGAAGGCAGTTCCCACGTTCCTGGGAACTGCCGCTCTCCTGACAGACCACACTGGTCTCTATCCAGATCAGCCCTAAGCCTGGGGGTAGACGAGCGACGATGGCGACACACACAAGCAAGGCCAGCCCTGCACCCCCATGACAGCACGGAAGATGGAGTCACAGGACATCACAGATGAGAGGTTCAGCCTGGTGCATCAGCCAAAACGCTGAGGGGAGATTAATACAAAGAAAATAAACAGAAATGACTGGCAGGAAGCCTGGGGCCATTAGGAGAGCACCCCAGTTAGCAAGTGATGGAGTCAGCAGGGAGCCGGAAGCGGTGGAATGGCCCTGCTTGGAGACACAGATCACAGCATCTTACGCTTCTCCTGGGCCGACAGCCCCGTGCTGACTTCTTCAGCACTTTGTAAAGCACGTTGATCAAAGGTTCATTATTTTTTATCTGTACCGAACAAAAAGGCAAATACAACAAAACGTAACAAGTGAGACATCAAACGGCACTTGAAGGAGTCGGAATTTGGGGAGCTGTCAAAGGGAGACTTGAAGAAGGGCGTGGGTTATGCCACTGAAGTGAGTGAATCTCAGCTGGCCTATGCACCTTCCGGCTTCAGGCCTTTGCAGGCTTCAGTTTCCTCAGCTACAGTAGGCGAGGTAATGAACGATTTGAGCATGCTGACCTCAGTGCCCTTTGCCCCCCTGGCAGGGGGAACATTACTGCTCTGGAATCACTTCTTCCTTTTTCCTCCCTCATTGTATACATTTAAGATCTGAAAATCTTACAAAGATCCCAAATCTTTAGATTGACGCTGCATATTAGCCTCACCCTTGTGACTCTCAGACTCTGCCTCTACACCTAATGAGGATGTCTTACCAACGATCCAAAGTGCTCACTATGCCCTCAAGGGAACACTGTCCCCACCACTAAGACAGTGGATCTCAGTCTAAAAGTTGAACACTGGACTCACCCAGGGGCTTCAAAAAATGCTGAGGCCTGAGTCCCATTCAGAGACACTCCATAGTTGGCCTCAGATATGGCCTGGGCATTCTTAAATCCTGCCTGGGTGATTACAATGTGCAGCTAGCACTGGTTGGCAAACTTAACATGCACCAGTGTCACCAGAGGGCTTGTTAATACACAGGTCCTGCCCAGAGGTGCTCTCAGAAGCAGGTCTGCCATGGAAGCCAAGATACTACATTTTTTTTTT